AACGGACGTCAGGAAGCGTAGCAAGAGCTCGGCCGATTTAACACTCAACATGGCAGAGCATGAGTTCAAGCACTGTGGTGCTCGCGAGAAGCACATTTATAGCACTGTCATGAGATGCCCAGGTATTCTCATAGGTCTTCCAAACGGCGGAGACGTTTGTGGCTGTGCGTACCCAGATGATGATTGTGACTTTCGGACGTCTCGGCTTCAAATACTGTTTCACATCCAGCTGTACGTATTCGTTCAGAGCATTGATTAACCAGTCTGTTCCTACCCCCGCTGGTGTGTACAAGTGCATGGCAACGCCTAGCACTTGGCGCATAATACTGTCGGCAATCGTGGCCCGTAGAGTGCTCCGACAATGACGCCCTAAAACAAATTTAGGCTTTGAATTACATTGATTTCGCATGCTCACCTCCTGTCTTAGTTTGGTTGAATAGGTCAACCAGTCTTGTGGTTAAAGACCTGTCAGCATTTAAGTCCTTTCGTGTCCTTCGCTGGACGTAGTACCTGGTGCAGATGGAAGTGCGAGCGCATAGAGGTCGCAGAGCAGGGTTTCACGTCTTCACCATCTGCTCTGATTGCCGAGATGCGACGGCATTCCTTCACAACACCTCAAAACAGACGGTTCCCAGACTTGTGTGCGTTACCGCGAGGTGGTCTGCCCAGACCGGCCAACACTCCGCTCAGTATGCCAGTCCGTGGCCTGCCCTGACGGCATTAGCTTTCCTCGTGTCGCCGCGACACCGGGTGATCATCGGGACCCAAACTCCCGATGTCAGAGTCTCAACTTCAGCTTTTCAGCGGTTGGAAAATGTTAACTTTTCCACGTCGATCCAGTGCGGAAGGTAGAATGGCGTTTGTTTTGTACTGCAGCAGTATGAGCTAGCCTTGTGTCGATGCGACGCTGGGTCACCGAGACATGCACCCTGTGTCGACCTCTGATCTTCAGCTTTTCTGCTGGCTGGAACGTCAACTTTTCCTCGGTAATCGGATGGAGAAGGTGAGGCCGCGGCAATGCTGCAATGTTTCAGGGAAACCAGTCTGGTCAGTCAGTATACACGCAAATGCCCAACAGCAACACAAATTTTGAAAACCGCTTCTTGCTGCTGGAGGTAAACTGCGTGAAACTGTGAACAAACTACCATGGCTGTAAAGACATCGACGTTTAGGAAGCGTGATGCAGGGATCCAAACCGTGGAGGGCCACTCAAACTGGAAATTTGCTCACAGCCCAAATAGCACCCATTGGGCCTGTGTCGCTGCTTGTAACAATGTCCATGTCATGGTCAGAAATCGTCAGAATAGGTCTAGAGCAAAGCTGAAAGAAGAGGTGATGCGAGAGACTCTTGCTGAGCAGAGAGCTGCATCCGAACAACCTCCATGTCACGTTTAGTATTTTGGAATGCTTGCTTGCCGCACATTGTTCTCATGAACGTTTGTCGTGGAACAGTCTCTTTTTGGCGAGTTGGTCAGTTCTATGCGTTCTTGCAATCAGTACGATACAAAACATTGCATACAATGAATGAAGGATACGGCGTTTCGCGGCACCATGACGTATATTTTCAACGGAAATTCCTGTCCCTTTCAGCCTGACGACATTCTCGATAGGGTCGACTCTCGCCGTTCGGCAAAGTGGCTCCGTAAGCCTTCATTTCGGGCAGTCATAACCTTTACGTTCATATTCCCGAGTGGCCTATTGCAAAGACGCTCTTGAACTTCACATTGATTCATAGGTGTCTGAAGTGCAATGTTTGCGCCTCACTTCACCAGCATAGAACAAGAATATTTTTACCCAGACAGTTCAGTAATTAGATTGTTCAGATCTTAGTAATCCGTACAAATATAACCTTGGATGTTACATACATTTCCGTGTTGCCTAATTTTGAGTGCGAAATTTGATATTTCAGAGTACGGGTATTGTGGTCTGGCTCTCCCTCGTGAAGACCCAGCCCAATACCGCGTAGGCCCAGACAATTATTGCGGGGACCCAGCCCAACTTTAGTGGAGGGGGCCCGGACCAGCATAGGGGAAGGGGGCATAACCCCCAAAGAGATGTTAAGTTCCACCCCTGCTTGTGACCATGATCTGTGACGTCTTTCCCGAAGTTAAGACGGGGATGTTTTGCTCAAACTTGAAAATACTACTTATTAATTAGAGTTAATGCACTTAAAAGAGGTTTCTAAAATGTTTTGATATAACCACTCTGAGGTGCATGCATACCTTTCTAGTTCGTTTTTCAATGTCAGACCGTTCACGGTCAAGGGAGATCAAATTTTGACCCATATGACCAAATTTGACCTTCTGAAGGTTACGCGAGTCAAACATCAAAGGCCAGCATCTCACCGCATGGGCCGAAAGGGCCCATGCAACAGCGGTCGTCATCCCTCTGACATGACAAGATATTTTACAGAGCAGGCCTGTCGGTGTTCACCAGTATCAGTCTGATAGTTCCAATGAACTATTCGGCACCGCTTTCCGCATTGTCGCAGTATCTTGTTTCTCGGTATACCAAGATGGGTCTATAAGGTATTTAAATGTACCCTATTCGCTGACTTGGCTCGTCAAGGTTACATCCACCATTGTTCGGTTACACCTACCTGATCGCTGGTACAGTTTGACGGGAGCTTTCCAATTCGCAATTGTGCTCAATAATGTGTAAAGTCCGTCAGTGTACACATGATTCGTATTTTTCACATTCTTAGAACAGTCCCGAAGTTATTCCAGAACTTTTTATCCACCTTATACAGGAAATGAGCACTGTGTCATCAGTGTAATTTGAGCTCTAAATTTGTTTTAGAACACCATTTTTTACCTTTTCTGAACTTGTCACAAGCTGATGGTGGGGGTGGGGGGGGGGGGGTATCAACCACCTGGTATGGCGAGAGCCCAAGATTTGATACATTTTATTAAATCAAAATTGCGGTTTCATTAAATCATAATAAGAATGTTAGGCAAAAATTATGACCAGAATCACAGAATTGAGTGGACGAAATCTATGAGGAAATGCACGTGGGAAGTAGGGTAGATAAGGTTCATGCCCCCCCCCCCCACCCTCCACCCCCTCACCCCCTCCCCCCCCCACATGAAAAACGCAGCGTTTGACCCCTGGTTACAAGGGCAGAAATTTAACATCTCAAGCAATGGAAGCCACCGTTGGCTTGGAGACTTTCTCGCCTGCACTTTTGGACGATCGTTCCACTCTGATCTCAAATAGCAAGGGCGCTTGATGAATGCGACCGCACTTGCCTGCGAGAGTAAAAACGCGGTTGAGACCTGCCGACCTCCCGCTACCCATTAGTCAGCGTTGGGAAAGTGGGCCTTTGTGCGGCCAGTGGTATCAGCAGATTTAACACTTACGTTAGGTCGTTGCTGTGATTATCGATGAAACTACCACGTCGACGCAGCAACTTGTGTAAATAGGCATAATAAATCATCTCAAGCTCATTATTCACTTAACGTTTATCACCTCATACTATCCTTCTTAAATACATTGCATGCTATCGTCGTATAATATCGTAAATATACCACCTAGAAAGGCCTAAATGATCACACTGTACATATGCGGCACTCACAATACTTTTGGGAGTGCTACCGCATCACAGCATACAAATTCATTTCCTCATTAGTTTCAGTGCATTTCCAATAAGCTGTAGCCTAAATGTCCAAACAGTGAGCCAGGTATGGTAAAGCAGCACGTCTTATAAAGCAGTGTACTGAACCGCCATAGGCTTGAGGAATTGACATTTTGCCATAACATACCTTTGTTTTAATTGAGACTGAAATCTCGAACAGGATGTTTACATACATCCTGGTAGATGTGTGTTTATGTGTAAACATGTTTATGTGCTTAGACATTTCTATAGCAAAAGAGCACATACCTTTCGACAAGTAAATGACAGGCACAATCCCTACCAATTCCCATTAATACACACGAGTCATTCAACGAAATGTTAGGATGTAGCCTTCTACATTGCATGCGCATGATAGCTATCTCATGACTGATACTATACCATGGAAAAGAAAAGAAGGTATGTCAATACTATTGGCATAACTGGGGTAACGACATTGCAAACGCACAAGCTCAACAGACCTATGTTGTAAGCAGTGCAAGACACTGAATTGTCGTGTTCATTGGCGAGGCTAACCCCTGTCATCTACAAAGCTAACTTCAATCTCCGGAACCCCTCACCCGATTTTCTTTGAATTTCAAGGAAGCAACTGCTTATAAACATGCAGATGTAGTGGTGTTCAAAATTATGCGTGCGGAGCAAACGGCTGCACGGAGCATGCGACGAGATGTGTCAGTCATATTTAGCTTCATTGATTTTGAAAGACGGCGAAAGCTGAAGAACATTTTTCCGTATTTAGATAAGAACGAAGCTCGACAATGGCTACATTTCCTCACTGACTGATTCAGGTGCAACTGCACGCTTGCCGTCAAACTCAATCAGTTGACCCGGAATGATTTGTTTAGGGGGCTGACCTTCAGAATAACCCACCTTTTGGTCAAGCCTCACGTTTCTGTCTTTTTTACACGAAAGCTGAAGATTCGACCCCGCTGCCCTGGCCCTTTAACTTCGCCGTGATGCTGCTCAGTCACTGGTTACTCCCGGACGCACGCTGACTTGGCATGACACGGCGACGAGGTGGCATCGACACATCACGGGCAATGGCGTCCCAGATTTGGCCGTTAACTTCTTTAAACCCCACCTGACACTGCTTGCAGACTGAGCACATGCTGTTTGGTGAAACCTGGCGGGTTTCACATGCTCGACCTGTGCATAGATGCCGTAACGCCACGTTGAAGTAATCCTCGATCACTACAGCAGTTCCCTCAGCTGCTCTCACCCACCCTATTCTGGTCTCGCTCTGCTCTGATCTTCCCCTGCTCTGATCTCCCCCTGCTCTGATCTTCCCGTGCTCTGACTCTGCTCCACTCCGCCCCGCCCTGACCCCGCCGGACCCCACTGACGTCGTCCCGCCCTGGCTCGATCGCAGCTCGAAATCAACAACTGCGGCAACGGCATCGTGGAGGACGGCGAGGACTGTGACTGCGGCACCGTTGATGGCGCCGAGTGCGCGCGCATGGACCCCTGTTGCGACCACATCACCTGCAAGCTGCGCGAGGAGGCCGAGTGCTCCACCGGACCCTGCTGCGACAACTGCAGGGTCAGTCGAGCGGGAGGCTTTATTGTATTTTATTTTGTGATTGACTGTGGGAAGGCGGCATGATGCCGGTCGTTAAGTGCTTTGCCAGCGACCGTGTGGGGAGGGTCGTGGGTTCGAGCCTGGCTACGGGTGCGCAAGTGTCGATTTCTACGACACAGGCGTGGAAACATGCGATTCTAATGACGCTAAGTCTTAAATGTATTTTCTTTTGTGCGGCATATTTTATATGGCGTGATGTGTTGCACGTTCTTGTGCGTGGTATGGTATGCATTCTGCACGTCCTGCTGTAACGGTAGGGGATCCATCCGAGTCTCTGTTATTTTAGCTGTGCACTATGCATTGACGGCGCTCGATAGTCTTGTACCGTTTTTCTCAACATTGAGTACTCGTCGAGTCGACACAGGCTGCGGGTGAACGCATCCACGCTCAACATATTTGCTTCGTTACCCCGTCCGATTCATATTATCCTACAAGCATTAAGCACCGTGGGCGAGGGCCACCGCCCTCATCACAACTTTCATCAGGCACGCTTCGTTTGAAGTCGGATAAGTGCTTCATTCGTGTCCTCGCAGCCCAGGAGGGGCTTTACTAAGCTTAGGCGTAAGCCGTTACTACAAGGACATCATCCGGTCCGACGTACCTCCCAAATCATATCTGCGCTGCCTGTGTCCGGTTTCCGGCTCACATGGGCCGGCACACAACAGCGGAGCGGTCAGAAGTAAACGGGCAGTGAAAGACAGCTGCAAAAGAAAACATCAGGGCATCCCAAGATAAGTTGAGATCTTTCAGGATTCGCCGCACTTCTTTGTGAAATCTGTGGGAATATTTCCCCACATCGTTTTGAGTAGCGTTTTTAAGCTCGTGTCATCATCTTCCGTGATGTAACTCATAAAACTCAAAGACGGATACGTGCGTGACGGTCCACCATACGTCCATGACATGGAAGAGCCGACGCCATCGCCTGGCCTGAATTCAATAGTTGACCGGTCTGTAAATCTGCAGAAGTCAAGTCATTCATGTTATCCGCAGCAGCCAACTTCGCTAATGGGTAGGGATTGTGCCGACCCATGAAACCTCGGAGACGATCGCTGTTGCTGATGTGACCGATCTGATTAAACAACAACCTGCACACATGCTTCTCGCACATTTTTCACAAGAGAGAGCGCATCGGTTCCCATGCGCTCAGGTATGTTTCCGTGGAGAAACCATAGGAATGTGTTGATGCCCGGATTCCCGCGGGGTTCGTTTGCATGTGAAAGTGAAGAGACCGTAATGGATATGCCAGTGTGTCCTCCTGCCATCGGTACTTTCTCTGTTTGATCGGTTGAGGGGGATGTACGTGACCACTGATCACTGGCACTGGTGCGGTACGTAATCACCGGTAAGTAGTTACTTTACCATTAAAATATATTTATCATAAAAACATGTTTATGATCGCTGATGACGCTGTTCCTCGTCTTATACCCCGTTAAAAACATACCCAATGCTGACCCGGCCATATTTGAAGAAATTTCCCCTGACATCAATACACAATACACCACATCAGCACAGGACATCAACCAGATTACAAACATCCTGTCCACAAAAGCTTCCACGGCGATTCCACTCACTTGGCTACCATAACGACGCAGCCTCGTGCCGTGGTGGACAGACAAAATTAATAAAGCCATTGAAGAACGGAAACGTGCTTTCCGAAGTTAGCAACGAAATCGCGACATTTCTCATTTCCTCGTTCGCTACTCTGAACGAGCAAGAACCAGAGGACTTATAAGGGCTGCAAAACATCGTTCTTGGCAAAATTTTCTATTGCAAGTTCACAGCGGCCACTCCGCTAAGCAAACTTTGGGGATTAGCGCGTGCACTATCTGGAAAAGGGCCTTCATTTTCTCTCCCAGTTCTCAGCGTCAACAGTGTTTTAAGAACTTAACCGCCGCAGATCATGAATACTCTTGCCCAAAGTAGCCTGCTGTAGTTCATCATACAATTACCAGCCAGGATTCATGGATTACGCACGGTTCAGTTCTGATTTGCTTCCTACCTGTTTCCTTCCTGACAATGCAGAGACTTACATTGTACCGTTTTGCTTGCCAGAGCTTTGCAATGCAATTGAATCCACCGGCAATGCTTAAGTTGGTCTGGATAACTCTCACTTCTCCTTCTTTCTTATTTAATTACCTATTTGTGGGATTGCTCGCGGGGGCGCGGTCGTTTCGTGTGAGGTGTCGATCGGTTGTTTCCGGTGTTCACTTCTTGGAAAACGGACTCCCGTAAGGAAGCTGTATTTCTCATCTATTTGTTTTTAATATTAACGTAATCATTGATAATCTGTTTGACGAACTCCTTCGTGGAATTTTCTCTTCACCTGTTACCGATGATAGCGCAATCTGGTGTTCAGATACACAATGCGAGTACTTATGATCATGCCTCCAATGCGCATTAGACAAGAAAAACAATGATCAAGAAGTTATAACTTACTTAACTACTTTTAACTATAACTACTTATAACTACTTTTTCAATAAAAAGTGCCGGCGGCATATTTCCTTCGTCTTGACGGTCACCATGTTTAGCTTACTTCATCGTTAAGTTTTTAGGTATCGTTCTTGACCCGAGATTACCAATGTCGTGCAGGTCGAACATGCCTGTGCCAAACGCATGAAATGTTTGAAGCTGCCCAGATCCATTCCAGGGTCATGACACGGTGCTGTCCGTTCTTCGCTATTACTTTTTTTTATAAATCCTTGGTTCTTCCGATCATTGAACATGGCTCCATTGTGTATGCAAGTGGTAGTGAAAAAAAATTAAAACTCTTAACTGTCATTCAAAATACTTGTTTACTGATCGCGCAGGGAGCACTGCACGTCGTCTGCACACGTCTGCAATTTCCGCTGTCGGGGAAGGTGCATACATTATGCCTTTCGCCCTCCGACAATGAATGAATACACCTTGAGGTACATCACAAAAATTCGACAAAAGCCCGACCACCCAATATTTATCTCTACGTATAGATTGCCTCGAATTCATATCACATGTGTAGGAACGGCAGAACGACGCTTGGGCCCCACAATCGCGTCTCGCGTCACCGTCTTCTGCCAAAGCATCAATTATGTGCCACCACGGGCCACCGTAACACCTGATTGAATAGGTCCTCTCTGGCAGTTAATCCCGCGGAAAATTCCGTTTCTTTTTATAAATCTTTAAGGAAGTGTTTCACATTTATGCGGGGTTTTGAGCTGCAATAGCGATCTTGAAGATCATTCGACGCAGTTCATAGCGCTGCCCTTCTTGAGACATAAAACCCTCCAGTGTCTGAGCTACACGCCTACGAGGATGTGTAGGCTATTTCATACAACAGACTATGTCAAGGTTGCCCAGGCATCCATGACACCATAACATCATTAAAATCGTGCCATTCCATTGGCCATGTGGCGTTCAAGGTCAGCGCAGATTTTATTGAGGAGTTGTTCATATTTGGCGTTCGTGAGCACGGTCTCCAGATATAACGGCCGTCAAATGACTCTCAACCAATGTTGTGAAAGCTACGCAAGATTCGAACGCAAAATACGCCTTGCGCTAGACAATACAAGGAGCTAGACATGTTTTCTAGCTATTACAGAAATAGGGTTTGTGATCGAATAACTTAAGAACAGCGCTATGAGCAAACATGTGAATGCAAGTAAGCACTTTCAACTCATCGATAAATATGCAAAAAGACTGCAATAAAAGGGCCGAAAATACAAGCCCCTAACGATAAGTGATTCAGCACACATCCAGCACCACCGCGGACCACCTCTCAGGAGATTGAGGAGCTGAAAGTGAGAACTGTTATGCGACCATTCCATAACGCAGTCAGTGACATATTAAGGACCACATGTGCTAAATAGAGAAATTGCGTTGTCTACAGCAGTATTTTTCACTTCAAAGTGTACCAATAGTTAAAAGTGAGCTTATTTCATCATATCTGATGCTTGCTTCAATGTCTTCAAACGTGGAGCATTGCTGTAAAAGCTCTGTGACAACAGCTCACGTACAACAATAGTGCAACCGCATGGTTTCAAAGTATTCAAATTGTTACGAGTTCGATTCCGATGGTTCCAGGACCAAAAACCGCAAGGGATGTGTAATACTATCCCATACTCACAAAAATGTGGATTACCAGATGTCACATCCGTTTACCTTGCGGAGCTATATGTTCTATTTCTTTCCGTGCAACACATAGAGCGACAAGATTGTAGGGCCAGACTGATGGCGATTCGCTCTGATTCAAAGGCGGCTTGGCGGTGACTTATTGACCCCAACTCAACTGGTCAACTTCCCTTCAATATTATAAACACGCAGTTTTCTTTCCACACAGAACAGAGACACCATTTTTTTGTGGATTCCAGGCCATAGAGGTTTTCCCTTACATCACACCTATTCCTGTTGGCCATGCCACTGTAAAAACGACCGTTTGCAACGTAACCAAACGACTTTCGTAACAGCAATGGACGCAAAGCAAATAACCTAGCTTCATAACATCGAACCAGATGTTACACTGTGGACATTAGCAAACCGCACAGATTGTCTGGAGGAGAAGGTGTTGACACGTCTTCGACTTGGCCACACAAAGCTCACCCTTAGTTATTTATATCTGCAACAGCTTTGTCCCCTTTGTCATTCGTGTAATTGTTTATTTACAGTCAAACGTATTCCTCCTGAATGGGGCGAATAACCAATAACAACGAAATATATATATACATAATACTCTGCGGACCTACTACAGTCAGTTTAACCTGATATCATCTTTCAAACACCCATTAGGTGATGACCATCCGCACATGCTGGATATTTTGTCGATTTTTCTAAAAGTTACCAACATATCTCAAATTCATGTAGATGAGAATGTCTTCAAAGGCACGTTTGTTCACAAGTTCGAAAGTTCACAGGCACGTCTGCCATCCGCACGGTCAGCATGGCTGCAGGTCGAGCGATGCAAAACAGCGGCTAATTCTGTCGTACAGGC